AAAGATGAGTTGGAGTTCTTCCAAGAAATTGCCGACGAAGTGCCCAAGACATTTGCTCTTTTAGAAAAAGAAGACGAGAGAAAGATTCCAGAAGATGATGATAAACTTCGCGAATTTAAAAAAAACAACGAACAATTAAAAAACTTCATTCAACAAGAAAGAAAAAAACGCGGACTTGCTACTCCAACCAACAAACCAACCAACAATCAGCCCAACCCTCCCCAAAACAGCCAACAAGTCCAAAACCCCCAAAAAGAAATCAATGACCTTAACCAAAAAGTTGCTGAACTCCAAAATCAAATTAAAGAATTATTAGCCAAGCAAGAGAAAGAACCCTTAGACCAAAATACTAAACAAGAAATTCAACAAAAAGTAGCAAGTTTAGAAAACCAAAAGCAAGAAATTCAAACTAAATTAAAACAAAAGCAAACTCAACAGGAGAAAGTTAAGCAGCAACCAACCAATACTTCCCAACCCAAGAATGAATTTAACTGGTTATATGTAGTAATTCCGGGTGCGGTTTTATTAGTGGTTATGGGAATTATTATTGCTTACCTTTTAGGTAAAAAAAACAAAAAAGAGTAGCGTCGTAGAGAGAAAGATGAGCAAGAAGCAAGACGTCAAGAGTTGGAAGAGCGAAAGTTGGAACAAGCAAGGAAACAGCAAGAATTAGCTGAGTGAGAAGTAGACAATAGACAATATTTACAAAGACAGGAAAGTTTATGACCTTGAGACAGAGATTGGAATTGACAGGCTGGTCTTCCAAGACCAAAGTAAACCATTTTTTTATCATTAAAAGCAGGAAAATATGAATGAATCAAATTTAAAAGAAGAAATATTAGAAATTTGCCACGAATTAGAAGGGTTAGATAGTAGCAATTTTTCTTGACATATATAATAAAGGAAAAGAAAAAATCGCTGCGGCTAAATCGGCAGGAATAACCGAAGAACTTGAAGAAGCAGAAGCGAATTTAATAATAACTGTTGCTGAGGAGGTGCTCCATAAGTTTGCCAAAGAGGCAAAAGAAGAAGATATTCCTCCTGAACATTGACCTTCGAAAGATGATTTGGATTTCTTCCAAGA